GGCGGCGAGAAATCCTAGCGGCCGTCTGTGACATTTTGGACCGCCAAGCACGGCCTGGCTAGACTGCACCTGCACATGCTTCTTTTCTTACGGCCTTTTCACCCGTCGCAAATAAAATGGGAGAGTTTCTGAGTATGTTTCGCCACCCATCAGCTGTAGGAGCGAGGCGACCCTGACCTTGAATCTTCTGTGCCGCGCATATGGCACAAGGTAGTTTGTCTATGTGAAACCGTGGAATGGGGGTTTTCGACGAATGGGGGGGGGGGGTGATTATTAAAGAAATCATGGAGAGAGGGAAAAACATGTACTTAAAGAAAAAAAACTAATCTTACCAGACGGCTTGCCGTTGATTGTAGATACGTATGTGCTCGTGGATAATACAAGCTGAAATTCAGTGAAGAAGCGGAATAATCGGCTAATGAGAAGCATGATTCAGGAGGCATAAAGCACTGGCGACAATCAGGGAGATAAAGAATGATGCACGTGTTCTGTAAGCAGAGAGCACCAAATACCTTTGGCCCTTGCTTTCGTTAGACAATGACGTCGCAATTAGGAGAGGTCGCTCACAGAATGACGAGCGCGCCTTCCCTTTGCTAGCTATTTTCTACTTTGATTTATTTTTCCAAATGCATTTGGAGTGATTTTTAGGGCTAAAAGCTACAGTCTGCAGCCTGACAACACTTTCAAACACGTATGTGTGCTGTATATCTAATAACAAAAAAAGAGTGCATATAAGGAAAAAGAAAGTAAAAAAGAAGATAAAATTCTTGCTGCTGAATAACCCTTTCGGACGGCCAGCACAGAGAGTGGTGGTGTGCATTATCAAGGTGTTAACACCACCTGGAAATATTATTCCGGAGACCCCAAGCACTTTTCCACTCTTTTGAAAAAAAAAATATTCCAAGCCACGTCCATGAAAAATGCGAAGTACGCAGCTGCTTACTCTCTCAAGCCGCTTGCCCCGGAACTAAAACTCTAGTGCAAATCAGTTCTGAAGTATTCTTTGAGTTCGTATCAGAACATGTTTAAAAATCGAAACTGACATTACAACTTTTCGGCAAGTAAGCAGCTTTTTTTCTTAAAAAATGTGTATGAATTATCTTGAGGCTTAGTGCTACAAGCAGGTTGTTGTCGATTTCTCGCTTGCTTTGTTCTGTGATTTACCCACCACGGCTGCATTTCATTCGGTGCTTTGTCAACGTTCAGTCTACGGTGATTTCTCGAGTCGAGAAGGCAGTCGCACAACCTTCAATGTGCGTGTTATGCACATGTATATATATTAGCTGTGTGAAGATTTATCGCTGTGCTCAGTCCCAGCAGCTCGATTGCCATAGTTCCGTACTGCAAGTCCCGTTCGGAGAAAACACCCGGTTTTTCTTCTCACCAATTACTTAACAATACTGAGCTGTGCGCCAAGTGACAAAACATTATTGCGAGAGACAACCTTATCAGCAACGACAAGTCTGCATTGACAGTCGTATGCATTGAACACTTGTGCGATGAAGACTATGTGCCTGCGTTATGGATCAAACAATGTATTCCTGACTCTGCGCCTACTCTTTTTGAAGACTATATCCTTCTTACTTGATTTAAAGTGCAGAGAAGCCTCGCAAAGATCCTGCTTTATGAGCTTTGTCCCTATGTCAAACATCAAGGAAGCGAAAAGCGGAGACCAAAGAAACAGATCTGGATGTTGCAACTTCACAAGATGCTTTCACTGAACAAGAAGCAGTAAGTGTTTGCAAGCAAACAACAAGTAGCAACGCTCATCGCGCAGGTCGGTACCAGACTATGATAAGACGATTGCACTCCCAAGTGTCGCACCATCGTTTAAAATTTGAGAAGGTGCAGCAATCGCTGAAAGAAGAGAAAAAAGCGTCCTAATATTATTGCGAAAGCGAGCACCATGCATGTGTAAAAAAAATCGCAACATATGCACAGAAAGTAGAGAAAAGGGCCTCGTTTCTTTTTCATCAAATAGAATGTGACAGAAGAAAGCATTCAGCATACCCAGACGTACATGTAAGGGGTGTGTGATATGGCGCTTTCTGTCACTAAGAGGCTACGATCATGCACACACTTCGGGGCTTGTGACAGTGCCTGCAAAGTGCACTCTTCAAAGGTATATAGGTCCAAGTCCAGCAACATCAGGTATGAGGAATGCCATTAACCATTTGTGCATTTCCAACGGTTAAGCAACTTGTTTTCCAATGCGCAGCGAGTGGAGAAGCGCACCCAAACGCTTGTGCTGGCGTTACGCGCGTTGCACAGAGCGGCGGAGGAAGGTCAGGGTCACAGCGCTCCCCTCTAAGCAGCGGCGAGGGGCATTTACTACACCCGATGCGAAGGCCGTAAGAAGTGAGCGCGCAGGTGCAGTCCGGCCGTGTGTCGGTTGTGCCACTAGATCATATTCTAGTTCACTCTAGGCACCCTCATGGAGAAAGGATGTGGCTCCTTACACATAGTGAACGATGATGAGTGGGGCGAAGCATCTGTCCGCAGTCTAGTGTGATATGACGATTGTTATAGCGAGAGAACAGAATGAGGATGAAGGAACAAAAAGTAGCGCTCATCTTCTTATCCTTTTGTCGCCGTTCTGCTCTCGCGCTGTAACAATCGTCATGTCATATCAACTAGCCCATACCGCCACGCTTGTAGTGTGATAGGAGCAAACGAACGGACAGACCCTTTACCCCACTCATCATCACTGACTGTGAAATTTTTTTTTTTTTTTGTCCATTGTGTCATAAATAACAGATCCACATACACTAAACCAGTTGACCTGTTTAGCAACATACGAGACAAATCCTCCTCTTTTGTGAATCGATATGAAAGTACGTGAGTTTCGACTGGATAGTCGCGAGGCAAAGAGGGCAACAGTGCCTTTCTCGGCAAGGCCTGCTCGTGCATATAGTACAAATGTAGACGACGAGACAACAACCGACGTAGGCGTGCATGTCCCAGGTTAAATGAGCAAACGAGATGTACAGTAAGAAGCAACCTGCCGAAATACAGCAGCAATCATGGCGTCCGGCGAGCTAGAAGAACCAACGTCCTAGGCACCTCGTGCTACGAGCCACCGGCGCTCGTCATCTTTTTATCTAGCCGACTGGCCGCCACTAGCGCTCCCCGCCTAGCATTTTACGCGATAGAAAAGAAATGTAAAAAAAATGTAAGAAGAACATATAAACATTTTATACATGTGCGGCAGTTCCTAAGGTGTCCACTTGGAAGTCCAATTACCGTCAGGGTAGAAGGCGTACGGAGGAGTGCGATAGTTCCGATGGGCGGCACTGGGAACCACGCAGCGGGTGAGGATCCAGATATTTGTGCGTCGCTAGGAGCAGTGAGCAAAGCAGAGAGGCGCATTGCAATGACGTCAGTGCAAGTGGTGCGAACGCCATGGTCCACACAACGCCAATCGTCCGCTGCGCTTACCTGAGCGCCAACAACAGTGCATCTGTCGACAATGTGGTGCATATGCTGGACGAACTACAAGTCGTGCGCTGTGTATAGAACTGCTGCAGCCCACCATCAAATGGGGACGACACATGTGCGTAGGTGATTGGCTGTTCAAGAGAGCGGATGGTATAATGCTTGTGGGCTGGCACAAGGGCCTGGGATAAAGCTCTTCAGAAAGATTGGAGGAAATTTTCGTGGGCAGGTCTAGAAAACCCTGGCTGCCACTTGAGACGTTGGAAAAGTCAAGATTGGGCTGGCAGTGTACGAGGGTTCGAGCAGCAGCAGGCACTGGGTTGCTGGGGAAACAGATGGCGTGCAGCGCTACAGCGGGCTCTGGGTCCATAGCGTGAGTGGTGTTGTGGGCTTCGACAGGTGTTGGGACAGGTGTGCAGTCTGCAGGCAGGCCAGATGGCTTAGCCGAGATCGTCAAATTACCCGGGGCAGCAAATCCTACGGCGCACGAAGCAGCGGCCAGTGTCGAATCTGCGATGGAGCGAAGTGGCAATGCCTTTGTTGAAAGAACCGGCACATCGCAAGCAGGATCCGTGAACTCCACGGTCGTGGGTCTCTCGAATGACAGGTTGATGGGCCCGGAAGGTTGGTCTCCGTTATCTGTGCGGCAATTGTCGGCAGAGGTACGGTCTGGAGTGCCTGTGGTGTGGGAAACATCCTAGAAGGTAATGAGCTAGATGCTGTTGTGTCACTTGTTGGAGGAGGAGCACGTTTGAGGCCGTAAAACTTGAGCACAGCATCTCGCAAGTCATCGTACGGGCGAGAGCTCCAGGAGAAGTGTGTGCGGCGGCGTTTACGGTCACGTGGAAGATAGTATTCCAATACATTGTACATGAACTCTTGAATACAGATTCCGTTGCGACCCAAGGCTGCCGCAAACTTCTCGAACCAAAGCTCTAGCCGAGAGGTCCGAAATAGTGGCAGTGGCGGGTTGAATTGCGGCAGCCAAGCTTGCGCTGTCTGGAACATGGCCACGGAGCTCGGGGGCAGTTGTGCAGCGCCGGTCGCTTGTACGTGTGTCCGCGGTCACCAATTGTAGGCTACGTGACGGCGTCCGACGTAGGAAGCGAGCTGCCGAAATAGAGCACCAGCCGCGGCGTCCAGCCAGCTAGAAGCACCAACGTTCCAGGCACCTCGCGCCACGAGCCACCGGCGCTCGTCATCTTTTTCTTCAGCCGGCTGGCCTCCACTAGCGCTACGCTACACAAACCTCAGCCTACCATGACCTGGCACCCAATACAACACGCAAGCTTACAACTAATCTCAAGCGCGAATCGGAAAAGGTCATCGCTTTTGCGATCTGTTATCATAGTGACACTGCTGATCGTGAATGAATACGGTGGGGCTTAATTTCGCAACAGTGTGTGAGTGGCGCAGGAGCCGACAAGAAACTCAAGTTCCAGATTGCGATCAGAAGGGACCGCATGACAAACAAGGCCATGAGCTATTGATTTTGTGTCATGCTGACACCACCGCATTTATGTTGGCATTCTGCATGCTTGCGCGATGCACATGAATGTACTAACCGTTCCCTCCTAGTCGGAAAGCTGCAGCACAATCCACGTTACTCGTCACCAAGATTACATCAGAGAACACCTGTTACGTGTGTGGCCACGTGTGGCCGCATGGCCGCAGTGTTGACAACGTTTCATCCCCAGACAACGCCTCCTCTAGAACTAGAGGAGGCGTTGCCCCAGATTGACCTTCGAAAATGCCTAGATTTCTGCCTAAAAGCGCCTAAATACCAAGCCGAGAAGCATAGCTTCCGAGATTGCGGGCGCGCGACGGGTTTCTCTCCAGCTGTCCCAGGAAACTCTATGGGCTGTCCCAGGTGTTCTGTGCTGTCCCAATCGCACGGAGTGAGACAGCTTGGATTGAGTGTACTAGAAGTGTTGAGTGCCGTGACCGCGCCTCGCCGCCTGTCCCTTCCGCGTTGCCCGCAGCGGCAGCGCTGCAGTCGAATAGTACTGAAAGAGCAGCGTGCCGCATGCAGGAACTGCTATGCTCTTCGGCTGCTCCGTCGCGCATTCTTGAAGCAGATTTCTTCAAACCTGCCCGTTATTCATGTCTAGCACATGATACCATAGCCCATGAAGTATGGCATGCCCATCTACTGAGTTTGAGCTCCATAAAAGCCCTTGTAAGAGATCGAAAATAATTCAGAAATGGTGCGTCCTATTCTGATTTCTTCTCTCTTAACTCTTTCTTTGTTGTTTAAGCGTCTACAATATTCAAAATAGCTGAGCCGATTAATTGGAAGTTATCTGTGCTCAGAAAGCTGTGATATTAAAAAACAAATACTGTGTCACACGCATGCAGAACCAGAAAGCCATAAGTAAACAGGGGAGAGGAAGGAAAGCTGAACCCCCACCACGAAATGTTTTTGAAATTTAACTTTCCAGGGTATAAAAAAATATTTACGCGCATTCAAAGCGACCACCACTAGCCAAAGTTAGGCGTTCTGCTGCACACCCCACGCCCTTAAAAAAGAAAAGAAATCCTGGGTAGCTCTGCGCGAAACCAAGTTGACACATGTGTTTAGCACAATGCGCCTGCATTCGAATTTAGTAGCCAGTCTTCTACGATCTCTAGGCAGTTTCGAGAAATCGGCTGCGTTGAACATTGCAAATAGTTGAACTAAGCAGTGATCAGATAATTTTGAGTGACGAGAGGTTTTTTTTTATTGGTCTGAGCCAAGAAAAGCGAGAAAAAAGTCAAGTGATTGAAGCCCTGTGTCACGTAAGAAAAATGTCCGTTAGTGACTTACTGTAATAAATTTTGTTGCAGCTACAAAATTAAGTGTTGTCTCAGTTTCTACACAAGTTTCAGAATACTGCCTCAAGTGTAATACAATTCCAGCATTGAGAAAATGGCAATGCGTAACTGCACTCGGTTAGTCGCACTAGTTGTCGAGGCAGGTTTAGCAGCAAAAACGTCACAATCTATCGCGGGTTAGCACAAGGTAATGTTGGCAAACTAACGTCGTCAGAGATAACCCGCTCCGCTAGAGCAAGCTTTTTTTTTTCTCCGTTAAGACGTAGTTCAATGTTATAGAAAATAAAACTGTTTTGGTTTCACTAAGCATATAAAGAGTGGTGGTGTCGGAATGACGCTCCGTCAAAAACTTCGCTCCAATGAAATGTTCGTTCAGCGAAAGATGCGTGTATTCATATTAGGTTAAATTGCTGCTTGATAATCACTTTGACAAAACTCTTGTACTGGCGAAAAACTCGAAACGACCGTCGTGGGTTCATTTCCACGGCCGTGGTTCATTTCAAAGAACAACGCTGGATGGATGGATAAATGGATGGATAAGGCTGTACCCTTTAGATCGGGCGGTGGCTAGCGTCACCAAGCCGTAATACTTAATGAACTCAAAACTATATTTATTTATTTTTTCCTTAAAAAGTGAGTTTGAGGATTCGTACTTTGCAGTGGAGAGTTTAATTTTCACTCGTGCCTTGACTTTAGCCACCAATCAGATAACCTCCTTCTAGTTAAGTCTACTTGCTTAAAGTCTATTTTGCCCTCCCGGTCCCTAAACCCCAGTGCTTTGAAAAACTCTGCGCCATCATCCTGAACTATAGGGTGAAGCCCTTTACAGAACATTATCAAGTTTTCGGCAGTTTCTTCTTCCTCTCCACACGCACTGCATACTGTGTCTACCCCTTCGTATTTGGCCCGATATGTCTTGGTTCGCAGTACTCCCGTCCGTGCCTCAAACAGTAGAGAACTACCCCGAGTATTTTCATAGATCCTTTCCTTGGCAATTTCCTGCTTAAAAGTTCGATAGATCTCTAGTGCGGGCTTCTTAATCATGCCCATTTTCCTCATGTCAGTCTCCGTTTGCTTCACTTTCTTCTTAACCGATAGTTCTTTTTGGTTTGGCCACCTGCTGTTTTCTAAGTATTTACCAGTCAACTTCCTGGTTCGCTTCCTCCATTTTGTATCGACATTCTTCATGTACAAGTAGCTGAAAACCTTCATAGCCCAACGCTCTTCCCCCATTTCTCTCAATCGCTTCTCAAATTTTATCTTGCTGCTAGCTTCCCTGCCCTCAAATGATGTCCATCCCATATCACCTTTGGTGTGATCCCGTGAGCTCCTAAAGCAAGCCTACCTATTCCACGTTGCTTAATTTCTAATCTTGCTTGAACTTCTGATCTCATGCACAAGACCGCATTGCCGAACGTCAGCCCAGGAACCATGACCCCTTTCCTTATTCCTCTCACAACATCATACCTATTGTAATTCCACAGTGCCCTATTTTTCATCACTGCTGCATTCCTGTTACCTTTAGTCGTCACGTATATTTCGTGTTCCCTCAGGTACTCGGTCCCATTGCTTATCCATACGCCCAGATATTTGTATTTATCTATTATCTCAAGCGTGACCTCCTGTATCCTAAGCTCACTACCTTCGTTGTCATTGAAAATCATGACTGCTGATTTTTCCTTACTCAATCTAAAATCTAACCTATCTCCCTCATTACCGCAGATGTCCATCAATCTCTGCAAATCTTCCTTGTTGTTGGCCATTAGCACTATATCATCTGCGTACATTAATGCTGGTAGTGCCTGATCAATAAGTTTTCCTTGTTTGACTAAAGAGAGGTTGAAGCCCTCCGCTTCAGGCAGCGCCTCCCACTACAGCGCCACCGTTGCAAGCTTGCGAGTGAGAGCAACTTTGGAGCGGCCGGTTTTCACACCTCCCTATTCTAGGCACCTAGAGGTGTGCCCCGACTAGTCGGCGCGCCGCCGCCAAGAGTTTTCATCGCGCCGCCGACGCGAACTGATCGGCGCGCCGCCGCCGCCGTCGCCGATGATTTTCATAATAGGCAATGGATGGATGGATGAATGGATGTGGCTGTACCCTTTAGATCGGGCGGCGGCTAACGCCACCTAGCCGTAATACTTAGTGAACTAACCATTACATTTATCTTTTTTTTTTCCTTTAAATAATGAAGTTGAGGATTCGTACTTCGCAGTGAAGGATTTAATTTTCACTCGTGCCTTGACTTTAGCCACCAATCAGATAACCTCCTTCTAGTTAAGTCTACCCGCTTAAAGTCTATTTTGCCCTCGCTGTCCCTAAATCCCAGTGCTTTGAAAAACTCTGCGCCATCATCCTGAACTATAGGGTGAAGCCCTTTACAGAACATTATCAAGTGTTCGGCAGTTTCTTCTTCCTCTCCACACGCACTGCATACTGTGTCTACCCCTTCGTATTTGGCCCGATATGTCTTGGTTCGCAGTACTCTCGTCCTGGCCTCAAACAGTAGAGAACTACCCCGAGTATTATCATAGATCATTTCCTTGGCAATTTTCTGCTTAAAAGTTCGGTCTCGGTCGCGAGACCGAACTACAGTCTACGGATGGATGGATGGATGGATGGATATGGCTGTACCCTTTAGATCGGGCGGTGGCTAGCGCCACCAAGCCGTAACACCTAATGAACCAAAAACTATATTTATTTTTTTTCCTTAAAAAGTGAGTTTGAGGATTCGTACTTTGCAGTGAAGAGTTTAATTTTCACTCGTGTCTTGACTTTAGCCACCAATCAGATAACCTCCTTCTGGTTAAGTCTACCCGCTTAAAGTTTATTTTGCCCTCCCGGTCCCTAAACCCCAGTGCTTTGAAAAACTCTGCGCCATCATCCTGGACTATAGGGTGAAGCCCTTTACAGAACATTATCAAGTGTTCGGCAGTTTCTTCTTCCTCTCCACACGCACTGCATACTGTGTCTACCCCTTCGTATTTGGCCCGAGATGTCTTGGTTCGCAGTACTCCCGTCCTGGCCTCAAACAGTAGAGAACTACCCCGAGTATTATCATAGATCCTTTCCTTGGCAATTTCCTGCTTAAAAGTTCGATAGATCTCTAGTGCGGACTTCTTAATCATGCCCATTCTCCACATGTCAGTCTCCGTTTCCTTCACTTTCTTCTTAACCGATAGTTCTTTTTGGTTTGGCCACCTGCTGTTTTCTAAGTATTTACCAGTCAACTTCCTGGTTCGCTTCCTCCATTTTGTATCGACATTCTTCATGTACAAGTAGCTGAAAACCTTCCTAGCCCAACGCTCTTCCCCCATTTCTCTCAATCGTTTCTCAAATTTTATCTTGCTGCTAGCTTCCCTGCCCTCAAATGATGTCCATCCCATATCACCTTGTACTCCCTGATCTGGTGTATTCCCGTGAGCTCCTAAAGCAAGCCTACCTATTCCACGTTGCTTAATTTCTAATCTTGCTTGAACTTCTGATCTCAGGCACAAGACCGCATTGCCGAACGTCAGCCCAGGAACCATGACCCCTTTCCATATTCCTCTCACAACATCATACCTATTGTAATTCCACAGTGCCCTATTTTTCATGACTGCTGCATTCCTGTTACCTTTAGTCGTCACGTATATTTCGTGTTCCCTCAGATACTCGGTCCCAGGCAATATGCGAAATTAACAGCGCCATCTAGTGAACGCAGCAGGTACCATATCCGCCATTTTGATGCTGGCGAGGCTTGACCACAACGCGCGGGCAACCCACTAGCGAACGTACGCGTTTCGACGCTTCGACTGTCGCAGTCTGACTTTTCTGCTGGCAAAATTCAAGTACATTGATGTGTGCCGCTGTGTAAGCAGCGCGGAGTCACAGACAGCGATGGGAGCAACGTATGTGGCGTGAATTACGATTTTGCATCGATCATTTAAACGCAAAACAGGA